TTCAATAGTAGGGATTAAATAGTCAATCATTTTTAAATGTTCGTCCTTCAGAAATTCTAAAGTCTGTTTTTCAGAAGTAACCTAGTATGATTTGCATGCGTGTACATTTTGATAAGATAAAATTATTAAGAAAAAATCCGAAGGGGGAAAAAGGAGAACTTTTAGATACCTAATAGATAGCTGAAAAAACCTTGTGTATATCTATCTCTGAATGTAGTATAAAATAGAAAATGGAGAAAAAATGTCTAGAACCAAAAGGTACGTAGCATTCTTCCATTGCTACGGCCATCTTAGCTTGTGCCTAATTTCAGAAAGTACTAAGGACGTGTTTCACTTTCTTTGCTATTTAGCTTAGGAAACTGACCAATTCTACTGAGCCATTACTTATATTTTATTTAGGGAATATAATATTTTTGTGACATTTCTTCTCTACTTTTATTTTTTCAATGATAGAAATGTCTTGTACTTTTTTCTCATTTTGCTGCAAAACATGAAAAAAGGTATTATTTTTAATAGTCATGTATACTGATGGCTGTCTGACATCTTAAATTTGTATCTGTATATATAAAAGTACAAAGCAGCTGTTTTTTTTAGTAGCCACTGGCTGCAATGGCTACAGGAAGCTGACTAATGTTTTTCCAGGGCCCCATCAAATTTTATGAAATAAAATTAATGAGTCTTGTTGTCACTTTCTCAACTGTATCACTTTGTTTATATGATACATCAGTTGAATATTCGTGACCTCTGAACAAGAGAGCAAAAAAAGGTGATTTGGGGTTTTAGCTGGTCAGATGTGGCCAGCTGGTGTAACCAGCATTTACAGGCTGCTTACCAGGAAAGCAGTGTGTTTACTTACCCTGTGGTTCTTCAGAGAGCAGGTTTCCTTAAAAAAGTTGTAGATGACATGAGGTTGGCCAGAGGGCAGACACTTGCTTGACCTCTTGGTAACAGGTCCCTACATTAGGAGAAAACCCAAACCTGTTTTATTTCTTAAATTGCCACAAATGGAGTGAGAAGCTGCGGAACTGGGAGTTTTGTACTCATTTGAATCTTTATGCTTAGGACTTCAGCTGGACAGACAGTATAACCCTAACTGCTGATTAATTACAATTAATATTGAAAAGGATGCAACTCTCTTGCTTAGTGTTTCCAGACCTCTATTTTTTCAGTGTGGTCAGTCAACATTGGGAGATTTATATTTA